GGCGGCGGCGGGTACAGCGGCGCCTGCTGCTGCTGCAGCGGCGGCGCGTACATCGGCGCCTGCTGCTGCTCCTGCTGCTGCTGCTGCGGGAAAGGCGTCTGCTGCACGTACTGCTGCTCAGGGGCGTAGCCCCCCGCCTGGGAGTACCCCTGCGGGTTGGGGGGCCCCATGGGCGGCGCCACCCCCGGGGGGCCCCCCACCCCGGGGGCCCCCGGGGGGCCCCCGAGGGGGGCCCCCAGGGGGGCCCCCGGGGGCCCCCCCAGGGGGCCCCCGTAGGGGGCCTTTGCTGCTGCTGCAGTGCCCGAATAATAGTCTTGAGGCAGCCCGTTAGTCTGCGGGTAGTTGGGGGCCATGCCCGAAGGGCCTGCCCCTAGGGGCCTGGGCGGCTGCATGTGCTAGGGTTTAGGGTTTAGGGTTTAGGGTCTAGGGTTTAGAGCTGCACGCAGGCGAGATGCTGGGAGAGACGGGCGAGAGGCGGGGGTTTGCGCTTTGACTCTGTTTGGTGGTTTAACTGGAATTAATTTCGGAGCTGCCGAAAACAATTTAAACAAAAAAAGACTCAAAGACGGCGGGGAAGCTGCAGATACACCCCAGCAGCAGCAGCAGCAGGAGCGAAGAAGAGCAGCGGAGAGCCGGGCGAGGCAGCTGAGGTGTACGTCCACTTGTTCTGTTTAATTATTTCATTTATAAATGCAAATTGCAGGGAAAAAAGAAGAAAAATAAGTAAAACGGACCTTCGCTTTTATAGGTAGCGAGACGTGGGGGCCACCGCCGCAGACAAGCCAGATTTTCAGGTGTCTGTACACCTCAGACTGGCTGCAGCGCGAAACCCTCGGCATGCGTTTTGGACTTTTTCTGAAAAACCACAAGTATAAAAGTGTTCCTTTTCCTCCAATTTCTTCTTTTCGGGCCCAGGCAGCACGCCGCAGCTGCGGCCCCGGCTAGGGTTTAGGGTTTAGGGTTTAGGGTTTAGCGTTCAGCGTTTAGGGTTTAGGGTTTACGGTTTGGCCCAGCAGCCCAGCTGCAGCGAACCGGCGAAGCGCTGCAGCACGAGACGCTGCCGCGGCCAGCAGCAACAGAAATGGAAAGAGAGGGGGGGGTGGAGACAAACAAAAAAGAAATAAAAAGAAAAGAAAATAAAAATATATTCCTGTTTAAACACTCCAAATGAATTCAAAAATAAATTTATGAAAGTAGATTCAAACCCGCATGCATGCATGCAACTGCAGCTTTCTATTCTCCGAAAAAACTCAAAAACTCCCCTTCGTGAGGTGTACGTACACCGCAGATGCATGCACGCAGCCGCCGCGCTTTCAGACTCGGGGCTTTGAAAGCCCTAGGGTTTAGGGTTTAGGGTTTAGGGTTTAGAGCTGCTGCAGCTGCTGCAGTTGCTGCAGCTGCAGCGCCAACAGCAGCAGCAAATCCATTCAGGCACCTCAGCGTACACTCCAGAGCTGCCTATACACCTCGGAGCTGCCTATACACCTCAGAGCTGCCTATACACTTCAAAGCTGCGTATACACTCCAGAGCTGTCTATACACCTCAGAGCTGCCTATACACCTCAGAGCTGCCTATACACCTCAGAGCTGTGTATACACCTCAGAGCTGCCTATACACCCGAGCGGAAGCTGCCCTGCTGTGTCTGTGGCCCTGCGGTGTATGGACGGACAGCTGAGAAGCAGAAAAGGCTAGAAAAGAAACAGTACTTTTTGCAAAAATATTTTTGCAAAAATACATTTTAAAGAGACACTGGAGGCACTAACAATCTACCTTCTTTATCTTTTTCTTTTTTGTTTCCAAAAGTTCTTTTTATTTCGAAATTGTCTATTTTCTTTCTTGCTGCGCTGTTCCATGCACTTCATTTTTCTTCTTTTGGGGCTGCATACGTTTTCTTGCTGCCAGGAAAAATGAGTACTAAAACAACTCCAAATGCCGCAAAAGTGTTTATTTATAAAAAAGAAGATAATGGAATTATAAATTCAGAAAGAAGATAATGGCATTATAAATTGGAGTGTATGTACACCTGCAGAAGTAAGCTTATTCAATTGCAACTTTTCTATTTTATGCATTTTTCATTTGCAAAAAATTCGCAAAAATGGCAAATAATTCTAAAGTCCAATTTGGATCAAAAAGAGACATTTTCAACTGTCTCCTTTTCTCGCCTTCTCCTGAAAGGTTCAAAAAAAAGACCCTGGCTCTTCACTGCACAAAAGGCCCCCTGGGGCCCCCTTTTGGGGGCCCCAGGGGCCCCCTAGAGGCCTCGGAGGCCCCCTGTGGCTGCTGCCAGATGCTCCTTCAAGAGCCCCCAGGGGGCCCCCCACGGGCCCCCCAGGGGTCCCTTGACGGGGCCCACGAAGACCACCAGGGCTTTTTCTAGGGGCCCCAGGGGCCCCCCAGGGGCCCCCAGGGGCTCCGCAGGGGCCCCCAGGGGTCTCTAGAAGGGGACCCCTTGGCTTTTAGAAGAAAGTCCCTGAGGTACTCTTCTAGGGGCCCCTTCTGGGGGCCCCTTCTAGGGGCCCCTTCTGGGGTCCCCTTTCAAGGGCCCCTCTTGGGGGTCCCTAGAGGCCCCCTGAGCCAAAATCTAACAAATAAAAGTTCTTCGAAATTCTTTTCTTCAGAACTGCATTTGCATGCGGCGGGCCAGTTATAAATGTAAAAGAAACAAAAAAGAACAAAAAAATGGAAAAAGAACAAAAAAGAAAAAGAAAAAAGAAAAAGAAAAAGGAAAAAAAAAAGCTGAAAGTCAGAAATGCTTTTCGTAGGCGTAGAGGCTTTTCAGGCAAAATCCCTCAGTGGCACTTTTTCGCCTTTTCTCATTTTTATATTTTACTGTTTTTATTTATATTTTTATTCGTTTTAGTATTTATATTTATATATGTATTTATATTTATATTCGCATTTATATGTGTATTTATATTTTTATTTGTTTTATATTTGTATTTATATTTATATTCGTATTTATATTTGTATTTATATTTTTTTCTGTTTTTATATTTGTATTTATATTCATATTCGTATTGATATTTGTATTTATACTTTATTTGTTTTTATATTTGTATTTATATTTTTGTTTGCTTTTATATTTGTATTTATACTTTTATTTGCTTTTGTAAATGTATTTATATTTTTGTTTGTTTTTATATTTGTATTTATATTTATATTTGTATTTATGTCAATATTAATATTTATATTTATATTTATATTTATATTTATATTTATATTTATATTTATATTTATATTTATATTTATATTTATATTTATATTGATAACGCATCTATATTCAACTTCTGTAAAAGGCAATAAAAAAGAATTTCTTTTTAGGCACTTGTCTTTATTTCATTATTAAATACTTTGCATGCTCTGGATGAGTAATAACAATCAAAAAGAAACACATAAAATAAAATAAAGTAAATAAAACAAATAAAATAATAAAATATATTATTTCACTTTTGATTTCTGGTTGCATTTCCTCCAAAGCCGCTCCTGCCCTGCTACCTCCACGGTGCCTTTTGGTGGGGCCCCTTGGGGGCCCCCTGGGGGCCCCCTGGGGGCCCCCCAGGGGACCCCTTGGGG